GGAGAAGAAATCTCCCAAAAACTCAGCATACTTCGTATACACATACCCTAATATTACTAAAATACTTCTCGAGCGCTTCACATGACTCTCACTTCCATACGATCTGATTAGTTATACTTTATTTTTATTATTTTTACATTTTTTATTATTTTACGTTTTTCCAGTCTATCGAGTTCATGTTCCATTCAAAGCCGTTTTCTTCTTGAACAGGTCCATAGGTTCCAACGGTCGATCAGCTGAAAAAGGATTCTTTTTCGACTTGTGAAAAAATGGTATCACAGATGTCTCTCTATTTGCCTCTTACTGCTATTTCATACAAGAGGCTCGTCACAGGTTCCGGAAAAAAGAAATCAACTCTTTGGCACAACAGACAATTTGCTTACGCACTTTGAATGAGCAAACGCTGATGAGGAAGTCTTTATGTGTTTATGGAAGGAAGTTTCAGTCATCGTCGCTCGGCGTGTGCTGTTTAAACGAAATATTATGCGCCCCATCTTTTGGAGGTGGATTACATTGAAGATTTCCTTTTTTATCAGCAGTGCATATGTGAAATGAAATTGACTGCAAACGGTTCTTACAGAGTCCTCTTGTTGTCATGAGCTTTTGAACGACAGTGGTGTCGAGAAACTAAATCATTTTTGCCCCTGATTTTATGTTAGAAGTCCACAGTCAGCATTCAAGTTGTCTCCAACTGATTGACGTTTCGCCTTCCCATTCAAATTTGGTTTCCACAAGCTGATCATAATTTAAACAACACTTACTCATTTATACGGCTATCAACGTCACTTTTCCTTAGTAAGGCTGGTTTTTGCCTAAAACTGTTGGATGAAAAAAAAAAGCACAATATTTTATTTTAATTTTACCTCTTAGCGCAAAGTCATTCAAAAATTGAACCTAACAAGTTGAATATACATGTGGTGTAGTTGTGACGCTTAACACTGTTAGGCAACAAACATCCTGCCTCTCCTATTTAACAAAGATAATTTGAAGGAAAAGTCGTTGTAAAAAAAAAAAACTATTTCATCTTTGGAGGGAGCTTCTAGAGTTTATCGATGGAATAACGTGAAAGAATTACCCGTTACAAAGAAGTTTACAAAGAGTTATATTTAATGTGACTCTTGTGAAGAAATTGAGAGCTCTTGCTCGTCTGAGTAACGAGGGATTGTCCATCGCGCCATAAAATATTAACATTCGTGGATGTTTTGTTCTTATCGCGTTTTGATAAATCATAGCTGAGGCAAAAGTGAGGCTTTAAGAAAAATGGTTCACCATTTTTTGGACACAAATGACTGTATTTCCAAACATTTCAAACGATTAAACGCGACTGAAAAAGTTTTCATATGATTATTTTGAAAAAAAGTAAAGTTTAAGTAATCAACGCTGCGCAGGTGCTCTCAGTGCGGCAGCAAACTCAATGGGAGATGGAACGCAAGTGAACACATTTGAAGAACTTGTATGTTCCTCATCTTTGGCTGGCGAATTTGAACAATACTCATTGCGTCTGTCAGCAATCATCATTTTCTTTTCCCTGACAGCATTTCTTGCGAATTCTCTGATCTTCGTTGCACTTCACAAGGTGTCTTCCCTCCATCCGCCGTCCAAACTCTTGTACCGTTGTCTGGCAACAAGTGATCTGTTAGTTGGTCTTGTAAGCCAGCCTCTCACTGCTACTCTTTGGATGTCGGTTGTTTTCGAAGAGTGGAGACTTTGTCGATTCGCATGGGTAGCAGCCTCCATTTCAGGGTATGGATTATCTCTTCTGTCTTTGTTGACAATGGCAGCCATGAGCGTGGACAGACTTCTCGCCCTGTTTTTGGGGCTGAGATACAAACAGATTGTAACTTTGAAGCGCACATATATCATTGTCGCTACTCTTTGTATTGTAACCTTTGTCGCTACTCTATGCAACGTGTTAGATTCTCGTATAGCGCCTTGGTTTGGTCGAATTGTCATCTCATGTTGCCTATTAATCTCGATTGCTTCATATGCTAAGATTTTCTGTGCCCTTCGCCGTCATCACGCTCAGGTACAAAGTCATGTTCAACAACAGCCGAGCCAACCAAATGCATTGAACATGGCGCGATACAAAAAGGCAGTGTACAGTGCACTGTGGGTGCAGTTAGCGTTACTTGCTTGTTATGTACCAATGAGTGTAGTGGGAATTTTGATGGCTCATATAAAAGGAGATTCATCACATTTAGTCGTCGCTCTTGGAATTTTGGATACCCTGGTTTATTTTAACTCGACTTTAAATCCGTTTCTTTACTGCTGGAAGATTAGTGAAGTAAGAAGAGCAGTTAAGCGGACAATCAGACAAGCGCTTTGCTGTCCACGGGGTTAGTTCTTCCATTATACTCTTACCTAGTTGTTTCAAGCAAGTATGTAACGTGACGACGCTATTAGATAACGCATCCTGTCTGGTATATCATTGAATAGGAAGAAGTAAGAAGCTTAATGAAGTCGCTGCACAAAGCTGTTTAGATATTCTCATCATGGATGAACATGGCTCATTTTGTGCATGAAAAAGCAAAAATCATGGAATATACACGTTAACGATATCGTAGGAATTTAAGAATGGTATTTATCTTAACTGAGGGAGGCGTTTGACTACAGCTGGCTTGATACGAAAAAAATTCCTTATCTTATTAACAACCAGTGGCTTCAATCGAGGCTTCTGTGGATAAAGTTTATTTCCAAGTGCACGTATAGCTAAAGGCCAGAGAGTCGTATCACTAACGGCAATACTTGGGACAAGTAAATTTTATGCGACGGCAGTTACTTTGAATACAACAAATTATGATTTGATCGACATAAAAAATACCGTCCACGCAAGGTAGGGCAAAAAACGGGAAGCTAGTTTGATTTTACTTACTCGTTTTACAATCTTAGTGGTACGAAAGTACATGTATAGGATAAAATTGATTGTGAAAGGGTAGTGAAGGAGTGACTTTTAAGTTCTTATCTAACGGATGGTGAAATAATTTCAAATTTTTAACCTCCCTACATGAAATAAAGCGTTTGACTTTGACTCAATATTACCGCGTGAACCGTTCAAAGTAAGGCTTGTTAAAGACACGAAATCGTAATTTTGAGCTAAAAAGTCCATAATGCTTATCAATGTGTGATGATACTTCTATAAACTGTAAATAGCTAGTAAGTAAGCGAATGAGAAACAGTTTAACATTACAGGCCCTTACTGAGAATTCTCTTAAATATTTTGTTGCTTAAAATTTATCATCAAATTACTAATGAGGACCAATTAATGGTAAAATTACAATGTCCTAAGATAATTCTCTTAACGATTGTCGTTTGTTTCTGAAAATTTATTATTAATCATCAATTAATCATAATCATGTTTTGATTAATAGTGTACGCAATGGGTTATATTGATATGAAACTCACTGATAAGTTAGAAGGAAACTTACTATCAATACTGAAAAGTGTTGTAGCAAAATAAATGGTATGCTTCATAAAAAATTTAGGGGCCGGTTATTTACACAATGTCTAATCCAAACCATGGTTTTATGCAAGCAGTGAAAAGCAGGTGTTCTCTATAAGAGGGTAGATAAAACATAATAAATGTCCTTCCTTTATTAGATCTCGACCCTATAGATACTATTCGCATTTCAAAATTTATACCAAGATAAGAGGTTCAACTAAATTGAAGATGGCTTAGAACGCAGTTTTGTAAAACAACGACTAAACTTTGTCTAAAGAACTTTCGTGAGGCTAGTAAACATTTCAGACACTTTATTCTTGAAGAAATCCCTTCAATATTGAACGGCTAATATTTTGTTTGATGGCAAAATATTTCGCAAAAGTAGAGAAGACTTATATTTATAGCATTTTTTGGTAGATAGTCAAAATGGTGCCAATGGACTCACCAACTTGTAAGAAGCTCATTGATAACATTGTTTGAATCAATGAAAACCCGGAAAGATTTTTCGTGCAAATGAAGACATCATCTAGAACACAGGTGATGAGAAAGGATTGTTTTTATTTTGAGGGTGTTTATCATTACCCAACACCAGATTATCATAACCATTTCACAAAGACAGCTGCAGAAATAGCAAAGGAGAATTATACAGGCATCTCCTGATGGCGATCGAACTAAGAAACATCTCACCAAGGTAGAACTAAATATTGACTCGAGATTTCGTTTTTATCAAAAATCCTGACATGGGAAATATGAAATCAAGGATTTCTAACCAAACAACAATTTGTGGTGAATGGCATTGATTAAACTTTTTACTTTACTAACATCAAACCTGATTATTGCTGTTTCTCGTAAAGTTCTCTTTTAAGGATCAATCGTTTGTGAAAAACAAACTTTGCAAAATGATCAGACCTTCTCATCAAAAGAAGGGCTTTAAAAAAATGGCTCACCATTTTTTTTTGGACACAAATGACAATATTCCCGAGCATTTCAAACGTGTAAACGCGATTGAAAAAGTTTTCATACGATGATTCATATGATTATTCATATTGATCTGCATTTCTCAAGCCGTTTGTCATTTTTTTGTGAATATTTAATTATCTTAGCGCAACGCGGCAAAAATAGATCAGGTGACTAATTATTTAAAAACCTAGAAGTTCGTTACGCAACTTACATTTCAAAAGTGTCACCACAGATCGCACTTCGAAGCTTACTAGCCGCATATGGAACACAAATTGTAAGTATAATATTTTTCCCGCCGCTTCAACCGAAATCGACATGTGTAATAACCTTCTTTGTCATATTAATTTAATTTTTCAGTTGACTATATTACTACAAGTGCAAATAAATTCCATGTACGGTCATGTACGCAAAAATCAGTTAGTGGTGAAATCTTCATCGTAAAGTAGCCCTTCAATCACAGGAGCGAATCACATATGATTATTAAGTTTCAGTGATCAAAGCAGTTTAAGTGATTTCAAGGCTGGCAGGTGCTCTCTAGACGCAACATTTTATGTTGCAATCACACGTAATCTGAAGGAAAGGACAAAACGACTGCAGAATGATGGCGGAAACAAATCTAACCAAAGATGGAGCACAGACAAATGCATTTGAAGATTTTCGGTGCTCCCCTTTTTTGGCAGGTGGATTACAACCACAATCAATCCATTTCTCAGCTACAGTTTACATTATCCTCTCCATTACAATATTTCTTGGGAATTCTCTTATCCTTATTGCCCTTCACAAGGAATCTTCCCTTCACCCGCCGTCCAAACTCTTGTATCGTTGTCTGGCAACGACTGACCTGTTAGTTGGTATTTTTAGCCAGTCTATGATGGCTACTTATTGCATGTCCTTGGCTAACGATAACTGTAGTCTTTGTCGATACGCAAGCGACGCCACCTTCATAACAAGCTACACATTTTGCGGAGTGTCTTTATTGACGATGACGGCCATAAGCGTGGACAGGCTTCTAGCCCTGTTGCTGGGGTTGAGATACAGACAAACTGTGACTTTGAAACGCACATATATCATGGTAGCTGCCTTTTGGGTTTTATCAAGTTTAACTGGTTTGTGCTGTATTTTAAATTACCGTATAGCTTTATGGCTCGGTCATATAAGCATATCACTATTTCTGCTGATCTCAATCACCTCGTACACAAAGATTTTTCGTACTCTCAGTCATCATCAGGCTGAATTACAACATCATGTCCAACAACAGCTGAGCCAACCAAATGCATTGAACATGGTGAAATACAGAAAAGCAGTGTACAGTGCACTATGGGTGCAGTTTGCATTAGTTGTTTGTTATATACCATATTTTATAATAGAAACTTTGATCAGCCAAAGTAACACATATTCATTGCACTTATTCGTCTTCTGGCGGTTAACGATAGGCTTAGTTTAAGTTAACTCTACATTAAATCCGTTACTTTACTGCTGGAAGATTAGAGAAGTGAGACAAGCAGTGAAGCAGACAATAAGACAAACTCTTAGCTGTCTGTGGAGCTAGATCCTTCTCGGGTTTCACTCCTATCTATACTTAATTGCTTCATGATGCTTCTGGATACTGAACGTTTGTCGGATCTTTAATGCAAAGGAATATATGAGAAACTGGAAAAACATCCTGCCTCACTTATTATGGAAGATAATTTGCAGGAAAATTTTCCCGCGAGAGGCAATGTTTCTATCCTTCATGGTCCAGTAACATAAAACTTTTGTATCTATAAAAGGAACTTTTAGAGTTTATCGACGGAATAACATATCAGTGAGAGAATTACTTGATACAAAGAAATTGACAAAGAGTTATATTTAATGCAACTGTGGGAGGATATTGGCTTCTCTTGTGACATAATTGAGTATTGGAATTGTAAATGATTTAATTTTGGAGGAATGTGGGCTTCAATCTTGAAGCGAAATGTTTCCTTTATCATTAATCATTTCTTGAACAAGCTTGTTCGGTCAAGATGTCTGGTTAATAATAATAATGTTGCAAGATGCTGCGTTGAAATGTTGCGTGCGTGTGGCCGGGCCTTGAGAAAAAAGGGTTTGAGTGATCGTGACCGGCCAGGTGCTTTTGATAGGAAACATCTGTCGTTGCAAATACAGGTAACTAGCGGGTAAAAGGAAACGACCGTATATTGAACTGCATGGCGACAACTAATTTTATAGGAGGCTAGGTGTAACACAAACGAACACCAGGTTTGGAAAGTGGCCTTTCAACCTTTCTGGCTAATGAGTTGCCGGCATCAACCAGCCATTTCCTTCTTTGCGGTGTACTTTCTCCTCCCATCACAGCATCTCCTGGCAACTCTCTTGTCCTTGTTATAAACAGTTGTCAACTTGAATTTGTTATGTCATTAGAAAAATATCCACATTGCTTATGAATGTTTGAAAATGTCATTGATAATAACAAACATTGTGTAAGGGGGTGTATGGATTTAAATAAACACTTTCCTTTTCTTAATTAATTCTTTCCAAAACTTCCCATTTTCCGAGATTAAACGTAAGACTCCATCTTCTCCACTCAGCTAAAGGTGAATTTCTACCCGAGAAGACGACGTTTAAAATAATTGTGAAATACTGATAGTATCAAAGATGTCTGTCTGTACGTTTGACTCTTAAAGCTCATTTGTTCCTATTTTGGTCACGTTTCCTAATGATCTTTCATCGATAGGGAGCTAGTCAAGTGTCCATATCATCTGTATAAAATTTTGCATCAAACCATTAAAATGTTAATGAATTCTAATATTAAAAAGAAGCTTAAATCTGAGGGGTTCCGGAAAAAAGCAATCAACTCTTTGGCACAACAGACAATTTGTTTACGCACTTTGAACAAGCAAACGCTGATGAGGAAGTCTCTATGTGTTTACTGAAGGAAGTTTCAGTCATCGTTGCACAGCCTGGGCTGTTTAAGCGAAATATTTCTCGTTGCCAGTTGCCTCAGTACAAGAAAAAGGAAACGATTACAGAACAATGTCGACAACAAACTTCACTAGGGGTGGAACACAGACGAAAAAAATCGTAGAACTGTCATGCACCCCATCTTTTGGAGGTGGATTACATGAAATATTTACTTTTTTCTCAGCAGTGCACATTCTCCTATCCATCACGGCATTCGTTACGAATTCTTTCATCGCTGTTGCCCTTCACAAGGAATCTTCCCTCCACCGACCGTCCAAACTCTTGTATTGTTCTCTGGCAACAACTGACCTGTTGGTTGGTCTTGTTGCCCAGCCTCTCTATGCTACTTATTGGGTGTCCTTAGTTCAGGAACACTGGAGCCTTTGTCGATACGCATTTGACGCAGTCTACATCATGGGGCCTGCATTGTTTTTAGTGTCTTTGATGACGATGACGGCTATAAGCGTGGACAGACTTCTCGCCCTATTGTTGGGGCTGAGGTACAAACAAATTGTAACTTTGAAGCGCACATATATCATTGTAGCTACCATCTGGATTTTGGCTATTGTCTCTTCTTTATGGGCTATACTTGATGACCGTATAATTATTTTGCACCGTCTCATAACTATACCACTTTGCCTGCTTATTTCACTTGCATCATACACAAAGATTTTTCGCACTCTCAGATATCATCAGGTTCAGGCAGAAGATCCCGTTCAACAACAGCCGAGCCAACTAAATGTACTGAACATAGCTCAATACAGAAAAGCAGTGTATAGTGCACTGTGGGTGCAGTTAGCATTAGTTGTTTGTTTTGCACCATTCTTTATCGTGGTGACCGCGATTGCACATAGTAACAAAACACATTCATCGCACTTGGTCATCCTATGGGGAATAGCCGATGTCTTGGTTTACTTTAACTCGACGTTAAACCCGTTTCTTTACTGCTGGAGGATAAGTGAAGTAAGACAAGCAATGAAGCAGACAATCAGACAAGCACTTTGCTGTCCATGGAGTTAGACCATCTCGAGTTTTACCAGATCGTACTGGTACTTTCAGTTCAAAACTTGTATTTTTTTCACATCTTAACAACTAAAGGGAAGGCAATGGAAAAGCTAACCATAAATTTGTAAAAATATTTTTAATGCTACCTCACATTATCATGATTAGATCAATTTATAATCTAAGAAAAGATATGCGCGCGCAAGATCATACTCTCACGTTTGTTATTATAAGAAAGTGTAAGGAACAAAATTGAAGCAAGAACGGTTAGTACAAAGTTCTCTTTCAGGTTCACCGTTTGAAATTATATGCTAACGAGAAAAAAGGAATATTGAATGAAAAAGAAAAAACCATCGAATTTTAAAAGAATGGGTCGTTTTATAATCAACTTGTTCCTGGTTATTTTTCAGTTGTCTCCAAGTGATTTTGATTCTATGTTTACCATTTCCGAGCGATTAACTGTCCCAAACTTTCCCCTATATTTCTTTCAAGTCGTTTCATGAAGTTTTATTGAATTCAGAATTGAAATACAGCGAGAATATTTCCAATTGATTATCGGGCCTAGAAATAGCAGTATATCTAAATATACTGCTTATTTCTTTACTTAAAAAGTCGAAATCGATTTCCTTTAATGTATTGAAAACAGTAATATAGCCGATGTCTTCACGTTTGCCATGGGATATGACTTTAGTGCTAATTTGTACTTGAAGTAAATTTTATTGATTGAGGTAAACAGCTAATAGCAGCCAATTTAAACACAGCGGTCAACACTGCGCATGCACGTGTTTTGAAAAGAATACAAGGGGTTTTCAAACGCGTGTATTACGTGAAGTGAAGAAGGAAAGTTTAGATTCCTAACTATTTCAAATTGAATGCGTAATATAGTTGAAAGAGGGATTTCCGAGAGAGCTTAAAGCTTGGTCTTATTTTATGTTGAGATATCTCAACTTGTTTTTAACGCAGACGCCTTGTTCCGGCGATGAAGGCAAATTACAGAAGCTTACTTTTACCCTCGCCAGCATGGCCAAGCTTGCGACTTCATTTACACCGCTAAGCAAAGTGTGAAAAAAAGCACGAGAGTATAAACTAGCACAACATGGGTCAAGTCTAAAACAACAATGTGTATAAGTCTAGGCCTTAGAAACTTTCAACTTTCCCAAGAAACAGCAAAAAACTACGCACTACTTAGATTCTCAATGTTTATAATAGCAAATCATTCATCTAAAAGCGCATGCGTAATCATTTGACCGCTGTGTTGCCCATTTATCACTGTTTACGTTAGTTGCTTGTTGTGCACCAATCTATAGTGAAACATATCAGTCACAGTTAGTCGTTATATGGAGAGCATCAGTTGTCTTACTTTACTTTAACTTGAATGTCCGTTCTTTACTGCTGGAAAATTAGTGAAGTAAGACAAACAGTAAAACAGACAATCAGAGAAGCACTTTGTTGTCCGTAGCGTTACCTCCTCCTCGGTTTGGTTTTGTAAGACTTTCATTAAGTCACGATTATTATTAGGGAACGCTCGTCAAAAATATTATTGATTAAGCGGAAGAAATAAGAAGTTCAGTAGAATCGTTGTACATCGATCTTTTGTCAATAGTCTTTTTAAAGAGTAAACGCTAGTGAGGGAGTCTGAAGTAAATGTTGCTGATGAAGGTAGAATTGAAGAACTGTGCGGCGAGTTTTGATAATTCCTTAGCATACGTCCATTGATTTTGGACCACCACTTATTAATTGTTTTCTTCACTTCAGTATTATGATGTAACCGTTGCAATTAAAGTAGAATTTTGAAAATTTCCCTAGAGCATCACAAAGTTACCTGCCGTTTACACGAGAGCTTTCTTTATACAAAAACACCTTTATTAGCTCACTAACAAGACGTAGGAAGAAAGGATATTATATCACAGGGTCACATAGGCTAACTTTTCCCCGTAATTGCTTAGTATTGTTCTCAGTAAAGGGAGAATATTTATATTTAATAATCGGCCCTTGAATGACATCTTATCTTAATATACTGTTTATTTTATCATTTAAAAAAGGTATTATTAATCTATTTGTTTGTCAAAGAAATTAACTTTTAGTGCTAATTTGTACTTAAATTTAAATTCACTGATTCAGATTAGAAACTTGTCGCAGCACACCCAAACGCGCTAGTGGTTCGATCGGCTGCAGTCGCTATTCGGAGGAATTAAAATTTCCAGGATAAAACTCCTGCTCTGCATTAAAAGAATTGAATGAGTTGTTTGTTTGTCTATCAGCAATTTTCCCGTCTGAAAATAAAACAATGGATCTAAAGTTAATATCTAAATATATATATAAATCCATTTTCGAAAACGTTGCTATTTGAAAAAATATATTAAATAGTCTGTGTATATATTTTCTTTTCTCATCACAAAGTGTCTCTTTTTGATGAGCAAAGAAAATATATATTTCTTTGATATATATATATATATATATATATATATTTCAGTTTTGAAAGGTTTTCAAAAACAGGTATTTACATATATTTATAGAGCCGAAGGAAATGCAGTCATGTAAACGAGGCCTAAAACAAGTCCGAATCTGTCTTGACAAGCAGGTGTCTTCTTAACAACTTATTCGTTCCTCAGTGTGCGATGAAAAGCACGTGGCAGTTTTAGTGAGTTTGAAATATGGGTCAGGGTTGGTAAAGACGAAGCCTCTCCTAGAGCAATTGTAATTTTTTTATCGACTGCTGATAAGCCTTGAGCGCCCATCCCTTCATTTTCCATTTCGATTAACAAATTATCTTGTAACTAATTGTCATCTCTAAAGGAGAGTCATCAACTGTTTAAGAGAATCGCTGGAACAAAAATTGAATAACTTTCCTTTTACAGTTGCAGAAAATGGTTTGCTGGTTTGACAACTTGATTTTGTTACTATTTTGTTATTAGTTCTAGTAGGATACGAAACGGAGAGAAAAAAGGCTTCAAAGCGCAATTAGATACACAGTTAATTTCAAATATTTTGAAACAAGTTTGTATGTGTGGCCGCATACATTAATTTTGAATAGTTGCGTAGTCTACGTAGTACATTCGGTTGTTGTCACGAATTCAATTTGTCTTCTACAACAATTGACATCGCCAGCTTGAGCTTTTGCATTTTTAGCTCTCCGTAGCTGATAATTCAAGTCTTAACTTCGCACGAAAGATATGGACCCTTAATTAGCATCCTATTATAATGGAATTTGATACTGATAAAGAGTGACTCTTTACCGAATTGTAAAAAACATTGAAATAACAGATGTTTCTATATTTGCCTTTAGTTGCTATTTCATAACTGAGGAACCCAAAGGTTCCCGAGGAAAAAAATATTTTTTTGACCCAATGGAGAATTTCCAGTTGCAATTTAAATGAGTAAGTCTTTATGCGACTGTTAGGCAGAAAGTTAGGCTTCAGTAGTCATTGCTGCCATTTTTCGTTGCAAGAACAGAGACCCACAAGAAAAGGGAAAAGCCGACGACAGAATTATGTTGATATTAAATTTCAGCAGCGGCAGAAGTCACACGAAATCGTATGAAGAACTGATATGCTCTCCCTCTTTGATGGGTGGGCATCAACAACTATCAATTTTTTTCTTGGCAGTTTACATTCTCCTCTCCATCACAGCATTTGCTGGGAATTCTCTCATCCTTGTTGCCCTTTATAAAGAATCTTCCCTACATCCGCCGTCCAAACTCCTGTATCGTTGTCTGGCGACCACTGATCTGTTGGTTGGTCTTGTTGCCCAGCCTCTCTATGCTACATATTGGATGTCCGTGTTTCAAGAACATTGGAGCCGTTGTCGATACGCCAGGGATGCAGGCTACGTCACAAGCTATGTATTGATTTTAGTGTCTTTGATGACCATGACGGCCATAAGCGTGGACAGACTTCTCGCCCTGTTGTTGGGGCTGAGATACAAACAAATTGTAACTTTGAAGCGCACGTATATTATTGTAACTACCTTTTGGGTTTTTAACATTGTCGCCTCTTTATGTGGAATTTTTTATCCTAGTATAATCTATTTGTACAGCTCCCTAGTTTCACCATTTTGCCTGGTAATATCCTTCGCATCGTACACAAAGATTTTTTGCACTCTCAGAAATCATCAAGCACAAGTACGAGATCAACAACAGTCGAGCCAAACAAATGCACTGAACATGGCACGATTCAGAAAGGCAGTGGACAGTGCACTGTGGGTGCAGTTAGCATTAGTTGTTTGTTATGCGCCAATGTATACAGTGGAAATTGTGGTCACTTGCACTAACAAATATTCATTACTCTTAGTCATCGTACGGAAAGTAGCAATTATTTTACTTTACTATAATTCGACTTTAAACCCGTTCCTATACTGCTGGAAGATTAGTGCAGTGAGACAAGCAGTGAAGCGGACACTGAAAGAAGCTCTTTGCTAAAATAGGTCTTTCTTGAGTTGTTCATCAGACTTTCAAAGCAGGCTTATTAAGTCACGATTATTATTAGAGAGCAGTCGTTAAATAAGTTATTGGATAAAACCAAATAAGTGGCTCAACGAAACAGTTGCGCAAGCTGTTATCGATAGTCTTTATATCTCCGTGAACAATTTAACGACGGACTAAGTAGCCCCAGCTATGTGTTTTCAAAAATAAGGTTTCTTGTCGCTGTGCTAAAAGACAAGATGTCATAACGCAAGAAAATATATGCAAACATTTTACTGTCGAGTTTTCTACTCTTAGCAATAAGAAGGCATCAGATAAAACTTCAAAGAGTAGTTTGAGAGATGTGTTTGAGGCCGATGTTGTGTGTTACGAGAAAACTATTTCAAATAGTTTTCCTATAATTAAAAAAAGGCGCTTGGCGTTGATGTTGACGCCATATTGTCAAAAGAGACGGTCCAGCTTCAGTCTTGAATTTGTTTTGTAATCAGAAAAATATCCGTAGAGCTCATGAGGAGAAGTCTGAGTAAATGGAATAAAATTGACCATCTCTGTTTGTCACAGAATTTTTTTACAAATCGATTGATGTTCTGAAATTATGTTGGCAACAGCGAAAAACAAGTTTCGCATCATTTGTATAGAGGTCACCATATGTCCAGTTTGTCGCTTATGTATCTTTAGGTTGTCTCTGAGTTTCACGGATTTTATTTCCTCCATTTCCAAGTGATTAACCGCTGTCCCTAAGTTCCACAATTTTTTTTATTGAGTCGTTTTAAAGGCTTTGTATAAGCTCAGACTTTGCTTCAATATCATATCATCTAATTATCGCCCTAAAAACGACATGTTTATTTCACCCATTAAAGAAGTGACAAAATAGATCTTTTAAGACTTAGGAGGCCCATATCGTATTGTAAAACAAAAAATATACCCCATGTCTTTGCGTTTCTCTAGGGAATTCACTTGCAGTGCTAATTTGAAATTAAACTGAAACTTTAGTTACTGAAATCAACAGCTGGTTGCGATGAACATGTTCTTGTTTATCAAGGTATTGAATTACCATAGAGGATCAGAGAGAAAGTTCCCTATGAAAGAACTCTTGTTAAAGGAGGGATTGACGCATCTTCAGCGATTAAGTCTTTAGTCTGATTTTTCTGTAAGCCAATCCTCCGTTGGTAAATGAAATGACTAGTTGAAGCCGGAATAAAATATTGAATCTATAGAGAGTAATTATTTTGCAAAAACGAATTTTTTCCAAGCTAAAACGAGGCGGCGTGTCTGTGGTGGTTAACTGATTTTTCCTAATCTTTGACAGGGTATGTTTAACAATTGCTTCGTTCGTCACTGTGCGCTCATTAAATATACGATAAACGCAGGAAGTTTGGAGAGCTTGAAAGATACGCGGGAGTTACTTAACACGCAACCGAGAGTGATCGTAGGTTCATAAATAATAAATGCTGTTTATGTAGGTTTAACAAGGTGTAGTTTTTAACTCGACTTCGTCACGGGAATTATTCAACAATAATATTATTTACTTCATCTTCGGCAGATAATTGTTACATATTTTTACCGAGTGTTGATAGTTTTTAAGTATCCATTCCTTCATTTTCCTTCTCGATCAATAGATTATCATGTTCACTTTAGCACAGTCATATAACTCTGGTAATTGGAGGAGAATTGCCAATCGCTCAGGGGAATTACGACATGAAGAATTCAGTCACTGCTGTATACAAGAAAGCTTTGACAGAGAAAAATTTGGGCGAACTTTGTGGTATAATTTTTGCAGGACAATCACTTTAAAATTTTTTTGCGAAAGGAGGAGAACAAATAGAAAATGTAAATGAAACAGCAAAAAATTGTTTAAAAAAGTAATTTCCTGCTTTTCTTCTGTTTTGTTTCTCGTTTTGTCGGTACCTGATGGAACTCTGGGATTAAAATGATACCGAGCGCGTAGGGTCATCATTTTCTCCGCCTCCTCTATTTTCCGTTAGCGCCCATTTCTCTTATCTTGTTGACCAAAGGGATGAAGAAAGGAAATTACATCATGGGGCGAAATAAGCAAAATAGGTAAAACAGTTTTGGTTAAAAAAAATCATCATAACTTTCCTGACGAAAGTGAAAAAGCTGGTAGAGAACGAGTTTGGAAAATCGACGGCGCGCGGCATAACATCTTGGTACGGTTTTGTTATTAATATCAGTCTGGGGACGAAAAACGGAAAGGGAAAACCTATCATTACAAATTGATTCAAACATTTAAAAATACGTTTACATCTGTGACCAAAATTTAAATTTGAATTGTTTGATGCATTCGCAGATTGTCTCAAATTGCACTTTTCAAAGACCAAATAAAATCACCAGCTTGAAATTTTTATTTCTAATTTTTCATGGGTACTAATGATACAAGTCTGAACTTCATACGAATAATATGGACACCAGGTTAGCACCCTATCAGTAAATGTTGATCTAGATAAAAGGAGATTGTTCGTCGTTCTTTTAAAAGAACTATACCACAGATGTCTCTCCATTTTCTACTTGTTGCCATTTCATACCTGAGACACTTCAAAGGTTCAATTTTTGGACACAACAAAAACTTTTCTGACGTATTTTAAACGAGTAAACACTGATGAAGAATTCTCAGTGTGTATAAATATCATTAATTGAAGTATGAGGTGTAATTGATCGTGGCTGGATGTGGGCTGTTTAGACGACATATTACTCGTTGCAATCTTAGATAACCTACAGCAAATTTCAGAAGAGTTGGAAACAGATGAAAACAATTGAAGAACTGCTATGCTCTCCTCGATGTTGGTTGGGCTTCAACCAGAATCAGTTTCATACCTGAGGCATCCCACAGCTGCAAATTTCTGACGCATTTTAAATGATTAAACGCGAGGGAGGAAGTCTTTATGAAAGGTTTCAGTTATCATAGTTCGGTGTGTCCTGTTTAGACGAAATATTTCTCGTTGCAAGAACAGAGGAAACGAATGCAGAATTATGTCGACAACAAATTTCACCAGAGGTGGAACAAAGACAAAAACATTTGAAGAACTGGTATGCTCCCCCTCTTTGATCATGGATGGGCTTCAATCAGCATCAGTTTCTTTCGCAGCAGTCAACATTTTTCTCGCCGTCACAGCATTTCAAGTTGGTAATTCTCTCATCCTTGTTGCCCTTCACAAAGAATCTTCCCTTCATCCGCCTTCCAAACTCTTGTTACGCTGTCTGGCAACAACTGACCTGTTGGTTGGTCTTGTTGCTCAGCCTCTCCATGTTATTACATTGATGTCCGCGGTTCACGAACACTGGAGCCTTTGTGATCACGCAAGAGAAGCATCTTACATCACAGGCGTAGCATTATGTGGAGTTTCTTTGCTGACGATGGCGGTAATAAGCGTGGACAGGCTTCTTGCCCTGTTGTTGGGGCTGAGATACAAAGAGATTGTAACTTTGAAGCGTATTTATATCACTATAGCTAGCTTTTGGGTTTTATGTCTTGTTGCCTCTTTATGCATCATTTTCGATCAGCGTATAACCAATTTGTTTATCTTGATATCGGTACCACTTTCGCTGCTTATTTCACTCGCCTCGTACACAAAGATTTTTCGCACTCTTAGACATCATCAGGCACAAGTACAACAACAGCCGAGCCAACCAAATGCACTGAACATGGCGCGATACAGAAAAGCAGTGCACAGTGCACTGTGGGTACAGTCAGTCTTAGTTATTTGTTATACACCATGCCCTTTTGTGGTATTTGTAATCACTTCTAGTACAACATATTCATCAACCTCAGTCGTCGCAAGGGAAATAGCAGCTATCCTTATTTACTTTAACTCGACGTTAAACCCGTTTCTTTACTGCTGGAAGATTAGTGAGGTGAGACGAGCAATGAAGCAGACAATCAGACAAGCACTTTGCTGTCCATGGAGTTAGACAGTCTTTAGACCATCCTCGAGTTATATATGATCGTATAAGTACTTTCAGTGCAAAGCTGACCGATAGAGAACGCTTGTCTCTTAAATTTTTGCTCGAAGTCTGTCGATAATATTTTTTGCTAGTCACGTAAAACAAAATAAAGGAAAGGTAATGGAAACACAAACCAAAACTTTTAAAAATATTTTTCATGCTACTAAACTTTTTTTTGAATGCATAAATTATTAATCCATGGAAAGATATACGTGCACAAGAGGATATGTAATCTCCTATAATCTCTTGACTTAAATTATACTCTCATGAATGTTATTATAAGAAAGCGAAAGAAATAAAATTAACTATAACATTTTTATTAAAGACTACGCGGGATGCGCCTTCAGAGGGTTGCTGCTCCAGTGCCGATCGATCCTTCATTAAATTAAACATTTACACGGATTATCATGAATGTTTTGAATTAATTAACGACATATTTTACAAAGTACAAGTTAACGAGCTTTAAATAGCCTATACTGAGTTAATAATATTTTAAATTTGTTTAGTTTCTCGTGAAATAATGGCTCTACCTTCTCGAACGCACGTGTACGCTTGGTAAAATCCTACCTGACATAAAAAATTGAAACAGGGCTCTTGTTTCGCATTCTTGGAGTTCCGGTAATTCGAGTTTTTAGTGAACGAATCGGTTGACAATGCTGCACATGTGATGAAAGTTTTTGAAGAAATCTGCCGCAAAATTTTCCTCTGAACAGTTCAGTCGACCAAAACGACACAGTGCAGAAGTAGGTAACGAATAATATTGCCTATTGAAACTAAAGCTCGTCTTAAAGCTGCGGTTTTTCTAAGTGAGCGAGACGCTGAGCGTTTAGTTCGATTTAAAGACTGCATTGAGCGAACATCAACAGATGTTTCAAAACCGTTTGTTTCAAAAAACTGAAAATCTAAAATGAGTCCGCAGTGAAGACCGTCAAACGAATTAATCCTTTGTAAACAATATCAGAGCATTGGATAAAACTTAAAAAGTGGTTTAAGAGTGGTCGTCTGTGAAAATCGAGAAAAGGTGTTGAAAATGAAATAATTACATTTTTTTCAAACTTTGCCAGAGGATAGGTATAAATGGCCTTAGTTATGGAAAAATATAAAAAAATGCCGAATGCAAAATAGAAAAGCAGGACAAAGAGTGATACAGTTTTTGCCTTTGCTAAACATTCTTGACATCTTTGATAATGAGATATTTACCTGCTCAGACGAGAAGAAGAATGAACTCACTTTTCAGCTGAGCATCATGGCATTTATATGTTTTAAGATGACCTTGGATGTCTCTTTTGCACTTAGTTAGGACTATGCATTTACTTTCTCCACCGGTCTTGCGGGAACTACAAGAACCACCAACGAGCTCAAAGTAGCAACATGTCGGTATTTTAGCAAACGAAGCAATTTCAAACAATGCCGAGCAAGTAAGGGGAAGGCGAAGATAAGCATTCTCACGCTCATGGGCTTCCTGTGCGTAACGCAATCACAAATGTAAGTGGTTGTTACAGAGTTCTCCTCCCGATCGGTCACTTTTGTAAATCCTAAATTAAGGGGGGGGGGGGACAATATTGCATGAAAAATGTTTGAAAATATTTAATATATTCAAGTTTTATTGAATCCATTTCTTCCACTTCCGAGCGATTTATTATTGCTGATTTTCGCTTCTTTATTTCTTTAAAGTTGTTTGATAAACCTCTTTTGGAATTGATAATTAACCACGCTGCAGAAAACGTTTTTTACCACCTAATCATCTTCCCAAAAGAATGACAGTATATCTAAAGAAACTGCTAATTCTGGAAGATTAGTGAAGTGAGACAAAAAGTGAAGCAGACAAATAAAGAAACGCATCGTTGAGTCAGGTCTTCCTCGGGTTGTTCTTCAGACTTTCTATCAACATTTACTCATTTATCCTATCGACGTCACTCTTCCTTAGTAGGGACAGTTTTTGCCTTATACTGTGAGTGATAAAAAAAAGGAAATTATTTTATTTTTATTTTTACCTCTTAGCGCAAAGTTATTCAAAGATTAAACTTACCAAGTTGAATAAACATGTAATGTAGTTGTAACGCGCAACACAGTAGGCGACAAACATCCAGTCTCTCTTAATAAACAAAGATAATTTGCAGGGAAATTTGCTATAAAAAAAAACCTTTCTTAAATTTGGAGGGAACTTTTAGAGTTTATTGATGGAATAACATGACAGAATTACCCGTTACAAAGAAGTTTACAAAAAGTTATATTTAATGCGACTCCTGGGAAGAAATTAACAGCTCATGTGACAGAAGAAGCGTTGAGTATTCGCATGTTAAATAAGTGAACCGCATTACTGAGAAAGTTTTAATGAAAAGGTCTACGTGATTGCAGCCTGGCAGGCGCTTTCAAGACAAAAATATCTCTCGTTACATGCAGTTACGAGTAACCTGAAGAGAAAGCGAAGAAAGTGATTATTGAGTAACGAAATTAAATGATGAATAATTTTTTTTGACAAAGCATTGTCTCTCGTTTTCAATAAATGCGCTATACCTGAATAAAATGATTGTTCGTCTGACCGACGAAGGATTATCTATCGCGCTATAAAATATTAACATTCGCAGATGTTTTGATCTTACCTCGTGTTGATAAATCATAGCTGAGGCAAAAGAAGGCTTTAAGAAAAATGGTTTACCATTTTTTTTTGTACACAATTCACAGTATTTCCGAGCATTTCAAACGAGTAAACGCGACTGAAAAAGTTTTCATATGATTATTCTGAAAAAAGTAAAGTTTAAGTGATCAACGCTGGGCAGGTGCTCTCAAGACGAAATATTTCCTTTTGCGATCATACGTATTCTAAAGGAAAAAACTAAACGACTGCAGAATGATAGCGGAAACAAATCTAACCGAAGATGGAGCATCCCTTCTTTGGTAAATAGATTTCAACCACAATCCATCTACTACTCAGCAGTTTATGTTCTCCTCTCCTTCATAACCAGTCTTGGGAATTCTCTTATCTTTTTTGCCCTTCACAAACTCTTGTATCGTTGTCTGGCAACAACTGACCTGTTGGTTGGCATTTTTAGCCAGTCTATCATGGCTACTTACTATATGTCCTTGGTTCACGAACACTGGAGTCTCTGTCGATACGCAAGGGACGCAGCCTACATAATAGGCTATACATTATGCGGAGTGTCTTTGTCAGCGATGGCGGCCATAAGCACGGACAGGCTTCTAGCCCTGTTGTTGGGGCTGAGATACAGACATACTGTAACTTTGAAGCGCACATATCTCATTGTAGCCATCTTTTGGGTTTTCTCAAGTTTCTACGGGTTGTTGTATTTTTTAAATTACCGCATAACCTTATGGCTCGGCCGTATAGGCATATCACTATATTTGCTAACCTGAATCATCTTGTACACAGAGATTTTTTGTACTCTCAGTCATCATCAGGCTGAAGGATGTGGATGCTTTGTTCTTACCTCGTTTTGAAGCAAATGACAAAACGAGGTAACGACACGCAAACGAAACTGAAAGTGTTGCGATCAAAAGAGCTTGCACTGAATCAAATCGATAATTTGGATATCCTTTGTAACTCTCCCGAATTACTTATTTTGTCCAAGGTAAATGCCAGGCATTGCTTGCGAATTTTTGTGAATTCGACAGCTGTAACTTGTTCAAACAAGCTCAGCTTAATAAGCTTGTAACTAACACGAAGCGGCAATACAATTAATACACGCCAGAATAAAGTAAAAGTTGGCAATCGTCGTCACTTAACTGCAGGAACGTCTTTCATTGTCGGAAATCAGAGAAAGTTCGGAAAGATGAGGAACATTTGAAGGAGGAAATCTCAACTAAAAAAATTTAGAATAAAAGTATTTACCTTACACTCAAAAATCTGATACAACCATGCGTTCTTACCTCTGTCGCGGAAATGGAAGGCACCTTTGACTATTTTACGACCTTGCTTCCTCAGTCCGTCATGAAAATGTTTGAAAGTCACTAAGACAGAGAAAGCACTAAGAAAGACTCGAAAGCTATGTCATGGAACGGAGAATCGCAACGGCGCGTTGTGAAAATGAAAAAGGGAGTTCCTTGGGCCATAAATCTGTGCAAACTTGAAGCCGGGAATTCTCCAACTGAAATTGAAAGAAGAGCCCACATATGGGCGGCTGTCACCGCCAAAAATACAAAAATAGAATTGGTTTGTAATAACAGATAGAGTCTAATTGTCTTTTGGAGAACGATTTATCTTATCGTAGGAGACTTATTTAAAATACAAATGGACAAGTCGCATTTGGTGAAATGAAATATTTAAACAAAAAATGGTTTATACAATTAAGGAGCTGTGTAGCCACCCTTGTTGAACTGATTCAATAAAAACATGAGTGGCCAAGTGTTAAAACTGAAATGGTTCAGTGTCGAAATGACAAACGGTTCAGCTAACTGTACTTTGGTTCAGTAACTTGACAAAAACGGTTCAGAGTGGTGTGAAATGGCCTAGGTTACCGGCAAATGGTTAATCGTAGCCGCAATGGTTAAGTATCGCATCAATCTACTCACCGTAAAGTGAAATGGTTTAACGTGACCCCAAATGGTTTAGCGTGACCCCAAGTGGTTTAGCGTGACGACAAATGGTTTCGTACAAACCGAAATGGTTTCATGTTACAGCGGTTGGTGCAGTTGGTTTACGCCGTAACCGCCAAAAATACAAAAGTGAAATGGAAAAGTCAAGCTTGAAATTGAATAGGATAAGAATCTCAAGGGCGCCTCAAACTATAAAAAACTATATAGTTTTTAGGCGCCCTTTAGTTGTAGTTTCGTCGTCTTAAAACAATAAATCGCTTTATCACGTTTCCCAGCTATGGTTCTTACTGTCTAGACGGTAAATGTGCTGTCGCGTAAAATGATGCACTTTATCTGTATTTTTGTTATTCCTTTTGTTCCGAAATATTATTTACTTACTAATATTGCGGCAAGATGATGAGGGTATAAATTTA